ATCAATAAATTCCAGCCATACAAATCACCTGGAATGGACGGGATTTATCCAGTCTTGCTACAGACGGGACAGGATGTGATCATCCCGCATCTAACAAAGATCTTCAAAGCTAGTTTGGCATGGAGATATATTCCAACCGCATGGCGAAGGGTGAAAGTCACATATATCCCCAAGGTTGGTAGGGTAATGGACCAGACCCCCAAGTCATACAGACCAATAAGTCTATCCTCTTTCCTAGCAAAAACGTTGGAAAGATTGATAGACAGGTATATTAGGGACGAAGTGCTGATGGAGAATCCACTTAGCGATCGCCAATATGCATACCAGCCAGGAAAGTCAACTGACTTGGCGCTGGATGATCTTAACAGACTGCTCTCAAAGTCGCTAGATGACAAGGAGATAGCGGTGGCGACGTTTCTGGACGTGGAGGGAGCGTTTAATAACGTCTCCTTCGAGTCTGTAACGAACGCGCTTAAAAGGAGAGGAGTTCCTGCCTTCATATGCGAGTGGACAAAGGCGACCTTAACAAACAGGATCATTGTGTCTTCGTTAGGTGAAGCCACTATTGAAGCGAAGGCAGGAAGCGGCTGCCCACAAGGAGGAGTTTTATCCCCATTACTGTGGGCTACGCTTATGGACGACCTACTTAATACACTGTCCAGGGAGGGTTTTTACTGCCTGGGTTATGCGGACGATTTGGTAATTGTAGTCCGAGGACGCTTTACCAAAATAATTTCGGAGAGACTTCAAGTCGCTCTGAGGATGGTGGACAGCTGGTGTGAGGAAGAAGGCCTGAAGGTTAACCCTAAAAAAACATCTGTTGTTCCCTTCACCAGGAAAAGAGCACTGCAAGGCTTACAACCACTAGCGCTCAAGGGAGTAGAAATCCCATTCACAAGTCAGGCCAAGTACTTAGGTGTAATATTCGACCAGAGGCTGACATGGAATGCACACATTCAGAAAGTCACACAGAAGGCCACTATGGCCCTGAACACATGTAGACGAATGTGTGGTAAGAATTGGGGGTTAAATCCTAAAATGAACCTCTGGTTATACACAAGGGTTATAAGGCCCATGATAACTTATGGTTCAGTGGCGTGGTGGAACAAAACGCAACAGTCCGGGGCGATTCGATTGCTCAGTAGCACACAAAGGCTTGCATGCTTGAGTGTTACAGGAGCCATGAGAACAGCCCCAACGGACGCGCTAGAAGTTCTGCTAAACCTACCACCTCTACATATATACATACAGAGTGAAGCCAGATCAACAGTACATCGGTTGATCCAAGGCCAAGCTCCAATAAGTATGATGCAGGGAGCTGATAACTTAAGGCTATACCAGGACATAAAGGCAGACCCCGTTCTAGGAATGCCTGTAGACCGAATGGTTACGAGGTATAGTTTTAATAAAAATTTTCAAATTACAATACCAAAAAGAGAGGACTGGGAAACTGGTCCGCCGCTAACAGCAAACTCAATATGGTATACGGACGGCTCCAAAACAGATACAGGTACGGGGGCTGGAATATATGGCATAAAACCAAGGACGGAAGTCCGGGTATGTCTAGGAACATACGCGACCGTATTTCAAGCCGAATTAGCTGCTATACACAGGTGCGCTATGGAACTAATCGGCCGAAATGTAGATAACGACTCCATCGTTATCTATTCGGATAGTCAAGCGGCTCTAAAGGCTCTCAGTTCGGTACAGGTCGATTCATGGCTGGTATGGAACTGTTTGGATGTCCTCTCTCAGGTAGGAAGTCGAAACAGGTTGACACTTGCCTGGGTGCCGGGACATAAGGGCCATCGTGGCAACGAGAAGGCCGACGAATTGGCCCGAGAAGGCGCATCTACGCCACTGGTTGGTCCGGAACCCTTCTTTGGAATCGCAAATACGATAAAAAGGGCAGCCATACACAAATGGGTGCAACAGAATTCTCTTGAGTGGTGGAACAACTCACCAGGACAGAGGCAGGCCAAACAGTTCATCAAAGAACATTCGGCTAAATTTACAGCAGACTTACTTTCGCACAGACGCAGGACTGTCAGAATGATAGTGGGTCTGCTCACTGGGCACTGTAGACTCAATAGACACTTGAGTCTCATAGGCCTGACAGAAGAGGACACCTGTCGTTTCTGTCTGGAAGAAGAGGAAACCGCTCTACACGTTCTGTGCCATTGCGAAGGTCTCGCACGAATGCGGTTTCTAGAACTCGGAGAGGAAAAACCGGAAGCACCAGGCTACATGAAAAGGCCACTATCAAGGCTGTTGAGTCTCATTAAGAGGACCAAGCTAGATGAAGTGCTTTAAAATAAGGGGGGAACACAATAGATCTGCAAAGGTCGCAGTGTATCAGGCTCTATTGGCCGCCCCATTTTCTACATTCTACATAGTATTGGTTGCAACGGTTTCTTTTTAGACATTTTACTAAATTGTGTAAATTATTAGCAAGCATTACATAATTTTCGGTACCACTTCAATGGCCTCCTTGAAAATGAATTATACGAATTCATTTGATCTGGTACATCTATGAAGGATTTTTCTGCATTATATTCTACTACGATCTGTGGTTTAAGTTTGTCTTCTCTTCTTTGTATCAGATTTACCATAGAAGGCATATGCTTCGAACTTATAGCAAGCCGATCGTTCCATGTTAAAACCATTACACCATTATAATTTTGCCTTGCAACAACATCACCTTTTTTTAGTTTTATTTCAGTTACATTAGTTGAATTGCGTTTCCTATTGGCTCGAAGTTTCCCTACTAAAAAGGTTTGTCTATCCAGTAATGTATTTGCCAAAGTGGCACTATTATACCAGTTGTCCGCATATAGTGTTCTTCCAAAATCTAAATATGGCTCCAATAATTTTATAACCACTTTAGAGAATACAGATGTACCAAGCTAAGCTTTCTTTCCAGCATAAACTTTATACTGCAAAGTGTAAAAGGGTTCGGTGCAGGACTTAAAAATTTTAACCCTATACCGATGCCTTTTATTTTGCAGATACTGCCTAAAACTTAGCCTACCTGTTAAATGGTACCATCGACTCATCTATGCACAGTGACATTTCAGGAATTACACAGTGATTAAACTTATCCACTAGCAAGTCAATAAGGGGTTGTACCTTGTGAAGTCGATCTCCGACTTGTATTGAGTTATCCGAAATATGAAACATGCTGAAAATAACTATATATTTTAGTAATTAAAACCTAAAATATAAAATGTTATAATGGTACCTGAAAATCAACTCAAATTGGTTTCTAGCCATGTAGACTGTTAGTTTGCTATTATATAACTGTGTGTTTTTCCAATAATGAGCCAGAGAGGGCATATCTACTAAAATCCATCCACATGTGTATGCCTAAAAAGGTATACCTTTTAGCATATATAGCATATATGCATTTTTTGTCGGTTTGTCAGCATTTAGCTTTTAATTCTTGCACTCCTCTTTATATTGGGTCTTTCAAGGCATTGTTGAGATTCCACTTCTTCATTAAAAAACAAACAAAAGAAATCAAAAGGGCGGGCATCTTGCATTGTTTCTGTTAGATCCGGGTTTACACCTACTTCTTTGGAAATCATACTATAATTTATATTTTTAATCCTTTACTGATCAGGTATTTGCCAATCTTAAGATATGGAAACATTCTCAGGGGCTGGTTCTTGCTTATTATGTAACTTTTCATTTCTCAAAACTTCATTTTCACTAATTTCAATCTCACTGTCTGAATCTTCACTATCTAGTGCATACTCTGGATCCGCATCACTGTCATGAAACTCCGAATAGACGATGATCCGCTTCGTGATTCTACAGTCTCAAACAAATGCAGTAATCTCTTCTCTTCTTTGGAATTCATTATTACAATAATTTACAATCGCGACTGTATCACAAAGCAACAACAGACAAATAATTAAACTACCTGTTAGTACTTGCAAAAAGCTTTTTCTATATTTTCCAATACTAATAGGATAGACATTTGTGGTTATCAACCCAAAATATTACCAATTTTAGTTTACAGAAATCTGCAGGTCGATAAATAATAGAATATAGTATTTTATTGTGTGTACTAGAGGTGGCGCTCATGGCCCCTGAGAAAAACATCACTCGTGGGTACCTCAGTACCTCGAGTAGCTCGCTCCGAGGGTTAACAAAGTGTCAAAGCAAAATCGACTGACCTGCTCATGGTGGCGATTGCTCGAAATTTTATCAGGACGCTTTTGTGCATGGTACAATGAACATATTCATTGTACCATGGATGTTGATCATGTATATATAACCTCACTTTCGTAGATTATGTTAAGAAATCTTTATTAACGACAAAAAATATTTTTGTTGAACTATAAATGTTACTATAAATAGATAACTAATTAATTCTAAAAATTGTATCCGGATATTAACACTACAAAATAAAATATTTAAGTTTAACAAAATAATCCCATAAGACTCAATACTAAAATGTCCTCACAAATCTGACAGCGTGTCACGTGACTGTAAATAGAGGGGAAACCCACGGAGCGAATAGGTAATCAGGTTAAAAATGGTGTGAAATACTTAAAAAGATATTAATTAACCCCCAAAAGGTTTGTACAAAAGACTAAATTAAAATAATAAATAAAAATCGTCATGGCCTCATGGGTCAACATGCTCTAGAAGAGCTGTAGCATAAATGGCAAGTTAACTGAGTACCACATGTGGTACTCATGGCAGTCAACCTGTTAAATAAGTTGATGGTCATTTTAGACTAGCTCCTGTATTATTCACGAATCTTTTTCATATTACAGTATATCACTAATGAGGTTGTGGAATACGGGCAAGATGGTTTTTTTATAACTGAAGATAGATGTTCTATATTTCAAATGTCTCAATAAACAGTTTCATTTACTTCCTTTTTTGCTTTATACTTAAATTTATTTGGCCAATCTCAAAATGTAAGACGTAATAAAAACAATTTTGTATTATTTTATATAACTAACTCTATAAGTAAAAAAACTTACGCTTGTCCCACAAATGAAGTTCCAGCAGCTGGAAGACACGCAGTATTAATATCGGCATAAATTCCAAGCACGATTGGTTGCGTTAGCTGTAAGACAGCTATATCGTTAAATAGGGTAGTAGCTACGAAGTTTGGATGAACAGCTATTCTTGCTACTGTGCTACTTTGAACATTTACAAGACTGGTAGGGTTGTACACTCCCATAAGTACTGTTACCGCTGTCGGTGTGTTCCTGTAATATTAAAATTACTTTTTTATTCTCATACTTTAATATATCAAATACAGTTTTAACACATTGCCTGCCACACGCCTTTCTCAAAAACTTTCATGGGGCGCCACACCAAAAAAATTGTTCAATTCCTGGAGGCCATGTCAGACAGATATGACCGACGGAAATTTTTACGGTGAGGCCATGTCGGTCATATATGAGCGACATGGCCCTTTCGAATACAGGACAGGATAGCTTTCGAATGCCCTTCTATAACTCAAAATTACGTGAGGGTATATGGATTTTTATATAAAATTTTGTTGTTGTGGCGTCCAGCAATACTTCATTAAAACATTGGTGGCGCACCAAGAAAAAATAATGAAAAATTAAAAGAAAAAAACAGTTTTTATTTTTGACATACAAAAGTGAAACAAAAACAGGAAAATATAAATTTATTACGTATGAATATTTTTAAGGCAGTCCATGCACATATAAGGTTGATCAGGACAACCACAGCAATTAGTCATTACTTTTTTCACTTTTTTCTGGCTTCCGATCTTCCTAGAAAACCAATCAAATGTCTGTAACAAGGCTTGCAAATACGACGAATTTTTTTGTCTTTTGTCAATGCATGTCCTGTTTTTTTTGTAGGTTCTTCTCTTGGTTCTATGTCTAACATTTGCTGAACCAGTTGTTCTCTGAACTTTCGTATTTGCATCTTCTTTTTCTTTGAGACCATTTTCATTACCAGGTAAGCATTGACAACACTAATGCCGAGAAGATATTCCATGGCCAGCTTCCTAAACCACTTTACCCCTTTTCTTAAAGTTGTCGCGTAAGAAGACATTTGGTCAGATATGTCTATGCCAGATTTTCCTCGATTATAAGCTACTACCATACTTGGTTTTATTTTAGTTTCCTTTCATTTCTTTTTCTTAAGTTGTTTACTAGCTGATGGTGTCGATGTAGTTGTGTTCTCTTTATTTTGTGAGGTATTGATCAAGTCAGGAGCATGTTTGGTAGACAGTAATTTTACGTCACGAGTGTCTCACCACTTGAGAATTACTATTCCATTTTCGTCTTCTCTACTTACAGATTTACCTTTCCTTAGCTTTTTCATCATAACTTCTTTTGGAAAATGTTTTCTTGGGGTCGTAACAGTACCGATTAAATGCGTGTTTTAATTTAAGTGGGATAAAGCTAAGGGGTAACTAGTGTAGAAGTTATCAACAAACAACGTACGACCTTGATTTAGAAGGCCCTGCGACAATTTAAGACACACATGATGACCCAAACCTAAATTTGTGTCTGCTTTGCCTTCATAAATGCTCGTAGTCTAGGTATATCCATTTGTTGCACAAAGTTTAAATACTTTTATCCCATATCGGTGGGCTTTACTGGGAATATATTGACGAAAAATTAATCTGCCTCTCCATGGTACCAAAGATTCATCAATAACAAAGTTCTCACCTAGGGTGTACATATTTTGATATTTTGTATTCAACGTATCAACCAAAGATTTGATTTTATCAATACGACTTATAGTAGGTGTCTCTGGATCTGTAAAATGTATAAATTTCAGCAACAATTCATATCTGTTTCGAGACATTGTTTTAGGGGCCAGGTGAATATTATAAATACTCTTGGTAGACCAGTAAGCTTGAATATTTCCTATCTTTAGCAGACCCATCCATAAAGTGAGGCCCAGAAATTTTTTTATATCAGTACTATTCGTAGAAATCCATTTTGTTAATCTAGACCCACGTTGTATTCTAGTGTTCTCGATTACCCTTGCTGCATATTTATTTGTAAATTCCACAATATTATTTAGAATCTCATCATCTACAAACAAGCAGTATGCCTCATAAGCTGTTATATATTTAGGGATGTCAATTTTTAGTCCAGAAGGCCCCAAAAAATTATAATTATTTATGAAAAAGTTTAATTATTTATTGAAAAGAAAAAGTTTTATGACATCCTGTATATTCTGACCACTGGAGATTATAACTGTAAAGATCGTTTTTATTTTCTGTTTCTAGAACATTTATTTCTGAAGCCTCTTTATCTTCATTTTCTGCCTCTTCTCTTTCTTCCTCCTCTTGCATTTAATGTAGTAATGCCTCAATACTATCATTGCCGGGTTCTTCTTCAGAGGGAAGCCAATCTTCGTCTGAATCATCTAACCCAAAATTATCATTGTCGCTACCCGTATCGCTTTCACTGCATTGTAATTGATCATCTTCATCACTTTCTAATAAAGCAGCTTCCAATTGTTGCTCTGTCAAATACTTTTGATACTTTCGCTTGGACATTGTATTTTTTCAACAAAGCCCAATTGTAAATTAAGATAAAAATACCTATTATTTTTACAACAATTAACCTTTAAATCGTCACGTGAATGCTAATGACATGGCCTCTACCAAAATAAGTTTCCGGGCAGTCCACGTCAGTCACAATTGGATGACGATTTTAAATAAACAAAACTAATGTTTTTTACCATGCAATAATTTTTTGCTGAAAACATGATAATCTAGACATAAAAACCTTTCCCTATATCTTCTTTTTTTGCTGTGGCCTCCCACGAACTTTATTAGAAAATGCCTGTGGCTCCCAGTGAAACAACGTTGTCACTCATATATGACCGACATGCCTACAGCAAAAAATTTCTGTCAGTCAAATTTGGGTGACGTGGCAGGCAATGTGTTAATACCTGTTTTATGACGTTTTTTATTATCATACAAATTTACATTATAATACATATTTTTAATCAATAGAATAAACAATAAAACAAACTGACAATATTAGTAGATTCTGTGGCTAATTATAATAACATTAAAACGTCACGGTGGATGGAAATCTACAACAGTGGCGCAAAGTTATATTGAGAAATCCGTTCAAAATAAAGTCAACATAGGTAACCAAATTTTAAACTCCATCGAATACAATCAAATTAATAAGGAAATTAATGTCAAACGGCAATAAAGTTGTCTCCTCCAATTCATTTTATTAATTGGAATATTTTTTTGGCTTAGACTTATCGTCATACAACCAGACAAGAAAGGAATAAGACAGTATCCATCATTATAATTTACCTAAATGCCCTATTAAAATAAAAGATTTCATCTATATTAGGAGAACAGGGATAGACTCTTCTCGCCTAGGGACATATCAAGGCATTGATTTATATAAGACACGACACACCAACACTAGGTCACGGAAAGGAAGAAGTTATACAAATGGTTTAAAACAAAGGTAACAAGATTAACTAAATAATTTTTGGAGAATTATAATCATAATTTGCTGTCTTTTTAAAATTTAGTTAAAGAGTTGTGAACATCTACAGAGCCAAGTGATAATAAATATATTATGTTCCAAGGAGATGCTATTTTATGTTTTAATAAATCATTTATAAATTTGGACTTTATTTTTAGAACAACCAAAAAATATATGATCTAAATCACTTTCCTCTCCACAATGCTCACATCATCATCCAAACCCTGCATTTTAAATAAGTGTTTTGGATAACATGCATGCCCGAATCGTATTCTAATAATGGAAGTTAAGTGCCTCCAGGAAGCTCTACAAGACTTGTACCAAGGAAATTTGGGAATATCTGGTTGAATTAACGAGTATCTATTTTGATTCACAAAAGAGTATTCCTTTCACTTTTAGCTCCACTCATGAAGCAATGTTGACTTGCAAGAAATAATACTATCAGAAAGCGTTACTTTATGTAAAATACCAGTAGTATCGGTTGAAATGCTTTCTTTGGCTAATAAGTCGACATATTCATTATGTTCAAATCCTGCAGGTGCTTTAATCTAGAGAAAATGTATATTGATTTAAAAAATTTATTTTAAATCCTTTATAAAAGGTATATAATAAAATGCCCAAACGGGCTATCACAATTATATTACAAAACGTTTTCGGATTGTTAAATCCATCATCAGTGTAAACCTGAACGTAAATAACCACTTTAATTAAAAAGAACGTTGAATTTAAAATGTTGACTAAGATTAAAGAAAATTGTGGTTAATACTTATGAGGTATACATGCTATGAGCCACCAAAATATATGGGTCAAAACCCTTTAAATGATATAAATTTATAGTTGTTTTACATTATATATGGTTACAAATTATGATGTTTAAGTTACCGTTGGAATTGGTAACAGGGCGACGTATGACCCTACATAGGCAAAATGGTCCTGAGACCATTTTACCAGTATACCTATGTAAGGTCATACGTCGCCTTGTTACCAATTCCAACGGTAACGTCTTCTTCTTCTTCAGCCTTCATTTATCCAATGTTGGACATAGGCCTCCTCCAATGTCTTCCACGCTTCCCTATCTTTTGCAATTCTCATCAACTGCTTTCCAGCTACAGCAGTTATATCGTCTATCTATCTCTTTTTAGGTCTTCTCACGCTTCTTTTTGTTTCTCGAGGTCTCCAGAATGTCACTTTATGAGACCATCTGTTGGTGTCTTGTCTTGCTACACGTGCTACCCATTGCCATCTCAATGTCGCTATTTTTCCCATGATGTCGGTTACTTTAGTTCTTCGACGTATTTCGGTGTTAGGAATTTTGTCTCTGAGGCTTATATTTAACATGGCCCTCTTCATGGCCCGTTGAGTTACTCTTAATTGTTCTGCCATTTTTCTTGTTATTGCCATAGTTTCCAATCCATAAGTTGCAACTGGTAGTATACAAGTGTCATAGGTTTTTCGTTTTAAGTGAATTGGGATTTTTCTGTCTTTTAAAATGAAGCTCAACTTACCAAAAGCAGCCCATGATAATTGTGTCCTTCTTTTAATTTGTAGGGTTTGATTTTCCTTTTCGTTTTTAATTGCATGTCCTAGATATATATATTGTTCTACCTTTTCTATATTGATGTTATCTATCGTGATGTTTTCTAGGCTGTTGCTTAATATCTTTGTTTTGTCGAGATTCATTTTTAATCCTATTTGATTCGATTTGTGATTTAAATCTTGTAGCATTGATTTTGGTTCATGGATATCTGTGC